GGGGGGGGGGGGGGTTTAAAACCTTCCCGGGGTTAAAAAAGGTTCATCCAAAAAATTTTTTTTTAGAAAAAGAGGGGCATATTAATTTTTTGGGTTTTTGGAAGCCCATGCCGGGCTTCTTCCATTTTTGGGCCCCCCCCCTGGAAAAAAGGATTAAAAAAAACAAGGGGGCAACAGAAAAAGGGGTCACACTTTTCCTTTGGGGGTTTAAAAAAAAAAGCCCCTTTTTTACATTCCCCCCCCCCCCCCCGCGCCCTCCACACAGCACTAGTCCGGGGGGCATGTCAATCCTTAGGCCCGGGCGCGTTTTTCGAACCGAACCACAAAGGAAGACAGATAGGCTGTTGAGCGACAACCCCGAGGGAGGGGGGGGGTGGGGGACTTTCTCGCTTTCCTCGCTCCCCATGACACGTGGCGGCGGGCGAAAAAAAAATGAACAAAAATACACTAGTCGAAATGACCCGGCCATCCACTCGCACGACACGGCGATGGAGTCTCTCTACCCCCCCCCCTCCTCGATACAGCACAAGCAAATAGACAATACCAGCCTTGAGCTATTCCGCTCAACACAAGGTCATGGAAACCCCCCCCCCCCCGTACAACAACCTGGGTGTGCCATGATACTCCCCGCTGCCTCGGATTAGTATCCCTCTGCGTTCCACCATGTCCTCGCATGGACACGCGCAACGTTACTGAGGTTAACCCTGATCCCCTCATCGTGCCCTTCCCTCAAGCCCTTACTCTGAAGAGAGGGAAACACGAACGGTTCATCCCAGTGGCCACCGTTCCGTCTCCTTACTGATACAAGATCACTCGTCCAGGAGACCAAAAAAGAAAGGGCAAGGGAACATCTTCACGCACACAAATAGCCAACAAACACAACACACAAACAAGAATACGCACAGCAAATAAAAAAAAAAGACATAACTGCCGGTGCTCCACAACGCGGAAAAAGAAAAGTACGATAGTGGGCAACAGACCGCCCGGCCGGCGATCGACGGCTGTTTCACGAAAATATCAAAGGAGGCGTGATTCTTGTCACAACGGAGAGGGTATACGTGTCTCCCGCACGTACCGACCCCGAGAGGCAACACTCGCGTCTCTGCTTTTAGTACAGAAAACCTACCCGTCGTCTCTCGATGCGGCGGAACAACCAAGACCAGAAAGAGAGAAAAAGGGGTACGTCCGCCTTTGACAAACAGACAGCAACAACGATATTTTTTCTTTGCATGGAGTCTCCTGGTTCTACGATTAGAAGGAAAAGAACTCTGCCACGCTTTGCACCATGGTATTTCCAAGGTCGCTGACATCCGCCGACCCGGCCATGAGGGTGTCCCAGTCTTTGCTGGAATCCCGCACAAGTTCCATGGAAGCGAGACTACCCAGCCCGGTGGGCGACTGCCCCCCCCCGAGGGGAGACTGCGGCATCCCCTGGTCCGTGTCTACGCTCATGTTCCTGAGGTGGTGCGGCCCTCCGCCTCCGCCGCCACCACTGGAAGGTTTCATGATGGCACCGTGCTTGTCCAGCCGCGAAGACCCCGACGTAGAGACCTTCCTCAAGAGGTCGCAGATGTCGAACACCTCCACCATGTTCGTCAGCTGCTCCACGAGGCCCAGCTCCTCGCGCTGCTCTCGCTTGGGCGGCGGCGGCATAGCCGATGCCGCCGCCGCCGCCGCCGCCGTCGCCATCGCCGCCGCTTCCAACGACGACTTCGGCGTCAACGGGGACGAGGTTAGCGCCTTATTGCCGGCAGCGGTGCTGGGATCGATCGGTATTCGTTGCCCGCCGCCGGTTACCGTTACGGGCGGGGGGCGAACGCCGCGCAGGCTGGCACCAGAGGCCGCGGCGCGAGCCTCGGCCGAGGTGTCTACCATGAGCGGCGAGATCGGGCCGTCGTCGCCAGCGGAGGAGGAGGCGGGTCGTTCGGAGGGGAGCGCGCCTGCAGTCGTCATGTCCACGCTCGACGACGTGCTCATGTTTCTGTTGTGGCCGCTGCTCGACTGCTGAAAAACAAAAAGGTGGATTGATAAAACAGACGAGAAGGGGTAGCGCAGGGAGCGGTAAGAACAAAACCTCGTCTTGAACGTACGCCTTACAACGGTATTTAGCAGTGTCGTAGAGAGTTCGTGCCCCTCTGATCCCATCGGAGGGACTCCATACTTTCGGAGATGTGCTGTACTGTTGGGTTGGAACGACTCAAATGCCTTGCGCTCGTCGCAGCTGCCGGCACGAGCCTTTGTCCGGCGAGTACCGTCGTGCTTCATAAGGGAAGTGATCGTGTACTCAGTAAAAAGTATAGTATGTGCTACAATATTACAACCGCAACTTTTAGGTCATACTGACGGCAGCCTCCATTGCAAGCTCGGAAAGACATGGCGAGACAGAGACCTTCTGTCCAAACGACAACCACCGCGCCCGTCGCGTCGCAATCGCAGAAAATCATGCCCCGCGACCATTCTTGACCATGTCGTGTTCTTCCGCAATAGAGGACGGCTGCCAGCTAGCTGTGACCCACTTCGAAAGCGGTCCTATAATGCAAACCAAGCCCAAGAAGCATCGCACTCGTCACTGCGGTAAGCTTCGATTACTTACGCCATGTTATCTTGGACGGGTGGTCTATGATTGGATGCAACGTTCTACAGCCAAGGTGCCTCAAATAGATCGGTCTACTCACGGGACCAGGAATGAGAGCACAGCGAGTAGGTATAACTTAAGCAGCGAGGTCCATGCTGCAATTTCGGGGGCGGAGCGCGGACCAACCAAAACCAACCATCCTTGTCAGGCGTTTCTTAGAAAGTGACTCATGCGCAAGCTTTGGACTATGCAGCCGCTTCAAGCTGATGCACCTATACCACACGAAAACAAGATTCCGAAAAAGAAGCCTGGATCGGCTCGTGGTTCATTTAAGCTTGACGACGATCACACGACACTGTCAAACTCCATGGCGGATTGCCTGGATGTGTTCCGTCGATCCTTCTTACAGCAGTAGCACGACACCACAAGCAAGACAAGGCAACAAAAAAAAAAAACACTGCAGCATCATGGTCCAGGAGTTTGCCGAACACTACTGCAATGCACTCAGCGCTATGTTGCGTTGTATTGCTAAGAGACATTGACCGGATTTGGCAGCAACGGAACCTATCGCAGCAGCAGCTGCTGTGTGCGAAAGTAGGGCGGGGGGGATCTGATGCGACAACACGAACTACCGCGAAGCCCGTCCTCTGGTTACCGAGCTACGCGACAGACATTCGGTTCCGACGCCCAAGTAGCCCGCAATCATATTGCGACGGTCGAGCACGTAAGGGTAATACGGAGGCTGAAGGGCCAAGAGCGTCAAGCAAAATGTGTAAGAGGAACTGCTTTCGATTGTCGGATGACTCGTGCGAGCAGCAGCCCTGGTAACTGATAGATGCACAGGTGTGGAAGGTACCAAAGCCTACAACAGCAGTAAGGGCCACCCAGCCAGTCGCAGACAGCAGCAGCAGCACACCCTCTCTCTCGGGGAGACGCAGCATGAGTCCAAAACCGTTGGTACCGTTCACACGAACACAAGCACAAGGAGAACCGTTTACCAGGTGATTTAAGAGCCCGCTAAATAAATAGTTTCTCCCTTCCTCTATAGGTTCGTTCTTATAGCAGCCCCAACAAAACCAGAACCATGCAGACAGCAAACTACTCGCTGAGAGGGTGGAAAGAGAATGGTACGCATACGTATACAGTACTTCACTTTAGAACAGCTCTGTCGACGTCCTGGAAATTGACCACCAGTTCACATGCATACTATGGACAGGGGCAGACGAGTTCTTCACTTTTCTCCCAACTTTTTGAATTTGAAGTTCTTCCCGCCCAGGTCAGTATGGACAGCAGTAGGGGTCGCCTTCTGTACCTGTGGGCATGACTGAGACCCCCACACGCTGGGTCTACCGCCGTAGTTTACATACATACTATAATACCTCAACAGACTCTTGGCGCAACAGATTAATGGGGGTCCACAATCTACGGAGACCTCCCGGCTATTGCACGCCTCCAAGAACAACTACCTGCTGTGGGGGGTGGGGAGGCAGCAAAGGAGGGCCCTCGAACATAGAGGACGCGAAGATGCCACCGCCGTTCTGGCGTGCCTCTTGCGCAAAATTTAAACTTTCGGGACTCGAGCAAAAAGAGACGGAAAAAAATTAACTCCGCGGCAACAGACCCGAAAAAACAATTGTTGTGCAGAAGAAGGGGCTGCTCAGAACAGGGGGACCATGGGACTCAACCGACAACCAACCTAACGGTAGTAACCAAGTATTCATCCGTCGCTAATGTGGGTGTGCTATGCACTGCTGCAGCTGTATGCGAGAACACCGGGAAACATGGGCAGTCGTAGTGTAGAGGGCGCAGGGAGAGAGGGTAGAACGTGGACGCGAACGACGTGTTCCGAAAATCCGGGAACCAAACAATACAGTTCGTGATTCTTCAAACGTAACGTTGTCGAGGACAAACACCGGCAAGGAGCCCAGACATGCACCTGTGCTCCCTAAAACACCGAAGACATCTCTCATCACTCAGTGCCGTGGCTCTTCATCCCTCGGGCATTCGAGAGGGTTTTGAAAAAATAGACGGAAGCAACAAAGCCAGCAAGCACGTCTATCTAAGCCCCGTTTGGGGTAACAGACACCACACACACACAATATATTGTCACTTCCTGACCAAAAGATAGACTCGTTGAGGCGAGCAAGCAAGCAAGCTGGTGCGTGTGTGGAATTAAGGCTGTTTATTGCTGTGTGGTCGTAGAGGTATATCTACCGTTCGGAAAGCGACCGTGTCTGCACGCTACATATCGCGTATCCAACCCCCATTATCACATCTGCAGCCAACACCAGCTGCAGGCAGCAAGCAATCCGGAGGCGGCGGCGGCGGTGCACCCACTTGAAGTTAAACAACTCATTGATGAAAGAACCCGCATTGCACCAAAGCACACGGGGCGTAATTGCTTGCCGCGCTTAATATATTTGAATTCCACCTACCATATATTAGTTAAAGCAAATACTCTCTTTCTCACCCTCTCCACGAAGCTGAACTTCTTGAAAAAGGAGAAGGGCGACGACTTGCGCGTGGGAGAGGCCGAGCCAGCACCGGCGGGTGCCTCTCCTCCATCCCGCAGCTGCTGCGTCCCCTCCCCCCCGCCCCTGCCGCACTCTCCAGCCACCTCGCCCGATGTGTCCCGGAGTGAGGGGGAATAGCTCCTCCGCCCCTGCTGCTGCCGTTTCTCCGCCAGCCGACCTCCTCGCTCCAACGCGTGCTGCTGCTGTTCATGACTCCTTCCTACGCAGTCTTCGTCGCTATCCTCCGAGGACGATGCCTCGTCGCCTGAGGAATCGGTCGCGGCGGCAGCAGCAGTGTCGCCGCGGCGGGCTTGTTGTTTTCTCTGCTGCTGCAGCTGCTGTTTTCTCCTCGCGGAAGCAGCTGACACCCCCGCCTGGGGTAGAGTGGCCGCAGCGTCGCTGTCGCTGCTCTCTCCGGAGGTCCACGGCGATCTCTCCCCCGCATCCGAGGAACCAGCGGCCGCGTCCGCCGAGGAGGCCGGAATCCCTACGCCCCCCCCCCCTGATCCAGGTGCCGCCGCTGCTGCTGCTGTGGCAACGCCCGCTCTCTGGTGGTCCGCAACGAGTCGGGCGGAGTAGGAGGAGGGCTTGTCTCCTCCTCTGCTGCTGCTGTTGCTCCCGGCCGGCGACGACTTGTTGCGCAACTTCCCGACCCTCCTCGCCGCCGCTCCGGACTTGTGTACGCGCGCGGGCGGGGACCACTCGCCCCGGGCGGCGGCGGCGGCGGCGCTCGCCTGCTGCTTCAGGGCGGCCGCCTTGGAAGCCGCGGCGTTGCGCTTTGCGGTGGCCTTCGCAGCTGCGGCGGCCGGTTCATACCGAGCGGAACCCGAGATGGAGCGGCGGACGTGGTAGAGGTCGTCAGGCCTGTCGCGCCGGAACATGGGGTGCGCGTAGCCGCCGGCGTCCGCGCCCTTGACGATCTTGCGGAAGGAGTAGAGGTTGAGCTGGCGCTGGAAGGACGAGAACTTGGAGTGCCGGTAGTACTTGGTGAGGATGTCCTCGCTGAAGCGCTCCACGTCGTGGACTTGAAAGGCGGATCCATTCGCGTTCCAGCTGATCGTCGCCGTGCTCTCCGTCGTCAGGATCTCGGCCAGCTTCCTCGCGAACGCCTGCGGCGCGCCTGCGGGCGGAGTCCGAAACGCATGGCAGGGCGGTGGCTGAGAGAGGGATAGGCCCCTTGGCTATGGCAGGAGCACACCCCTCAGCGCGCACGCAACGCAACGGTGTCGGGCCGAGCAACCAAAAGTAATTTTTGCAATTTTGGGTCAGAGAGAGACAGATGAGAGAAACCACGGAGCAACCAAAAACGCGCGCGCGCAACAAAACTCACCTCGTTTCCCGATTCGCCCTCGCTCGCGTTGGCCATCCCCCGCCGTTGCCGGAGGAGAGGAAGAAGCAGTCATCTCCGCTGGTGCCACGAGGTGTTCGGGTTCCGCGCCCATAGTCTCTGTGCCTGTCTCTGCTGCTGTGGCGATGTGTCGCGTGCCCTTTCTTTTTTTTTTTAAATCGTGACTCGCCTTTTCCGTGTTTTAATATACCGGGTTCCGATGGAAACCACGTCCAAATATAAAAGGTTTTCCGTTCTCCTGCTCAGAGCCGACCCAACAAAGAGTCCGTCCCTCTCTTTCTATCTCTCTCTCTCCGACAAAAGAAGAAGGGAGTGTTCACAAACAGAGGTAGCGACAGCAGCGAGTGTTATACGGACAAACAAGCCGGCGGATCGTTCCACATTCCGATTCCAAAAATTTCCGGGTATTTTCGGGAACCGTTTTTTTACTCTCATCACCGACTCTACACATACGACTTCAACGTTACCACACGCTGGCTACCTTCAATTACGATCTTGATCTAATTTTTCCCGTTGTGTACATAGATACATCTCCTCGGTCCTCGACTTACCAGTACTATCGCCGAGGTGAGCGCGCAGATATGACACCAGCTGTGCACGCACTCGCGATTTACTCGCCGGCGATGCGAAAACAGCAAAAAGTTGGGTATGTACTGGTGTACACCTGTACCTGGGAGAGGAAACGTGTAATAATAATGTGGTGTTGTCCAGTATTTGCTTGTTGTAAGCAGTGTGAATGCATTGCAACGCCGGAGTATTTTAATGTACGTCGATATCTTCTTATAGCAGCCTCAGCAACAGACTAAATCAGCTTTAGTCACAGCTGTAGTCTAGCTGCTGCTGCCTACAAATCACGATGAGTGCTCCGTTTCACGCCGGTCGATCCGTTGTGCTAGCTGCTGCTGCCTACAAATCACGATGAGTGCTCCGTTTCACGCCGGTCGATCCGTTGTGCGTATTATCTATCTACAGCAGTACATACATTCGATTCTTGGACGCAACGGCCGGGAAAACTCGGAGGACTACTGCTGTAATAACCAACAGCTGTTCAGCGTCGGTATAAATGAGCGGTTGTTGTATCATTCTCCGGAGTAAAGCTTCATTCTGCTGGTGCATGCAGTACTTGCAAGCACATTTGACTATCATTCACCGTCCACATTTATTTAGCATTTGGTCTGTGAGCACAGACTATATTGTACTGAAGTGTGTGGTTACAGGTTTTATGTGAGATATCCGAAATCCCAAATCGTGTGACTGCACCTCGTATTCCACCGTACGTCCGAAGGTTGCGGGGCACTACTGCACCGCGGCTGCTGTGCCAGCAGTTACACACGAAAATAAAAAAACGGATACTCGTACTCCGTCTTCTACAGAGTGAGTCCGTGCATGAACGAAAACACATACTAAGAGCAGCCTCTCCTTCTCAAGAGCAGAGCCGTAACTTGCACATGCAAGGCTACATCGTCCACAAGTAAGTCTGTCTCGATTCCGCCTCGCCATCCATAAACAAGAACAACACAACAATCAAAGAGCAGCGTGCCCAGCGTCGGACTCGGCGTCGGTCATGAGCCTGACGCACTTCTCTCTGTTTTCGGTTGCTGCCGGGGTTGATTGTTGACACATTGAAAATCGTCCGTTCGGCCCCTTGTCTACTCCCTCCTGATAAATACAGCCAGGAAAAAATCTCAGTCAAGGTCGCCGGCCGGTTTTTGGGCCAATTCCACTTGGCACCGTGGATGGAGGTGTGAAATGAAGACAAAATTCCCACATACGTCAAAAAACCCAAACCAATGTATGTATGTATATGTAGGGTAGCGCATCATGCAAGGACGAGGAACTCTCTCCGTCTGAAGTCCAAGGAGTTTTCTCCATGCACCCGTAATGAATGCCGGGGCGCTGTGTCGGGTATACATGGCCCTTGTGGGCAAACTGCACAGTCTACAATACAATGAAGGAAAACAGAGATACCGGCGAAACCCAGCTGCGCGTTTTGGTTGTCAATGCATTTGTACGAGCTTCAAGACCACACACAAGCAACACCATCACCTACTTCTTCTGCATTTGGAGTGCACACACAATCATGGTGGTGCATGGCCGTTCTTAGTTCGTGAAGTGATTGGATCACACGGTTACCGTAACGGGGCACCTTAAGAAAGCCCCCCCTCCCCCCCATCAGTCATCTCGCCATCCGGTAGGCCCAATGCCCTGTCCTCTCCAGGACGCGTGGTCGCCAATGGCCTACATAGCAGCGAAGACATGCAGCAGGGGTACCCCCCCCCCCCCGATACCTACTTTTTCTCCGTCTGGTGAGTCCGATGCCGTGGTAGGATCCCTTCAACCCTTGTTTCACCCAGACGCGGGGGTCCAAGTCCGGTCCACCAATCCTAAAGGTTCAAGAAATGCTGTCCTTACTGCTGTGTACTACTGTATCCAATCCCTATAGGCCGCTTCCCTCAAACCACGGGTAAAGCATGTCACCATCTCCGAGGTCGAGAATACCACTGGAGAGCAGCAAGGGGAAGACCCAATGTCCTCCATAAGACCAGCACCTACCCTTCCTTCCCGATTGGTAGGCCCCGCAAGCGTTGCTGGTCAAAGCCAGTTCCAACGTGTCAGCGGCAGTGTAGCATGGAGCCATCGCGGGTCCACCACAACGAAGCTTCTCCTGTCCTTTCCAAGAAGCGTTCGTACAGGTCGTGCACGACGAAGAGACCGACTCTCTGGCGTTTCGTTGTTGATTTTTCCCCGTTTGTTTTGGTTGTGCAATGATGGCAAGAAGCACGAGAAACAAGCAATACGAGGGTGTGGGTGCGAAGGGGTGGATTGTGCGGTGATTTCAACTGTTGAATTGATATAAGGCATGAACATAGAGCGCCAAGAAAACAAATGTACTCTTGTGATGTAGACATGTGCTAAGGGCTTGAGAGAAGGGTTAGGGCTGATGGTTCAACTGGGCTCTCGACGGGCCATTTTGCTTGTCGGATGTGGAACACCCACCTGGGACACGGGGCACAAGCCATCCCTGGTCTTGAGATCACCGCAGTGGAATACGGCCCGTGAGAACTCTTCTGGGCCCATGGAGTCGTCCCCAATGGACAATAACGCCTCCTCCTCTTTCTCCTCTCCCTCCGGATGACCAGACAGCCCGTTCTCCTCCCCTCGTCGCCTCCTCGTTGTTGCTTGTTGTCTAGCAGGACAGGCGATGGCCACAAAACCCGTTACAGCTGCGCAGATCCTGCAAGCCTCCCGGAGTGTGAGGCGAGAATCCAGAGCCTGAAATGGTGAGAAGGAAGCGGAGGAGTAGGGGTCGAAGTGATTTTTGTGTTTCATTCGAAAGGGATGCCATTCGGTATCAAAGAAAGACATGCAGTGGCTGGAAAGGGGCGGAGGAGGGCTGCTGAGGTGGAGAGGAAACGAGCTGGACAAAAAGACTTGTGTCGGAAGCGCCTCCGTGTCCCGTATCCTACCCGCGTGTGCCCGGTGTTTTCAAAAATGACATTTTCAAGAAAACACGGAATAGGCAAAAGGAGACATTCGACAACGAGTTTCAGGCGCAGGTGCTGTTATATTTAACGGCAAGTCTAGCGTAGAGTGAGCGATTCTGCGGCGAAATAAATTCCAAAGATCTGATCGTGACAATAACCCCGACCATTTCAATCGCATTCTCCAAGAACAACGTTGTTCGCAATCAGCGTTTCCCATACCCCACCGCTCCCCCTTACCCCCAGACTGCGCACCATGCTGACGAACTCTGAACGTTCAGTCGTCAAATTCTCTCTCACTACCCACCGCTCCCCCTTACCCCTAAACTGCGCAGCATGCCGACGAACTCCCGAACGCTCAGCCGGCAATTCTCTCCCTTCATCGCCGGAGGTCGCGGTCTCCTCTTTCGAACTCGGTTGCTTGCGTCAGGTGGGGGTTCGACCGGGGTCACGGCGGTGTCCTGGTTGTCTCGTTCGCTAGAAGTGCTGCTGCTATCACTGCTGTCGCTATCCTTGCTTGTGGAGAGATCTGACGACCCACTCGTTGAAGATTTTCTCTTGGTTGGCTGGAAGGTGGTCGGAGTTGCAGGCAACGCTGCTGCAGGTGAAGGTGCGGTGGACGGACCGCCGACAGCGAATAACTCCATGATTTTCGTCAAGCGGGGGCGGTGCACCTGTCCTCGCGAGAGGCGGGAACGATGCAGGGTGGACAGGGGGGTCGTCGGCCAACTTTTATCGTGGTTTCGCGAGGCTTTACCTACGGACGCTGGTTTCGTCCTCAGATCTGTGCGCGAGCCACTGTACCGACGCTTGGTCCTTGTACAGTGTAATCAACCGCCCTGAAGAAGCTCTCAAGTACATGATTGCCTTTCAGGTTGGGCGGCCACGGCCAGAGGGTACAAAGTTGAGGGAAATTCGGGATCTGAACCAGGTGTTTATAGGTTCGCGTGAGAGAGGTGGGCTGATCGTGTTATCAGAACGAATAAGTCGTATTAGGTGTTTCACGGGGTAGCCGTGCATCGTGTCCGAACGCAATCAATGCCCGCAATGCATGGTTATCTTCTGTCTTCCTTTGCTTGTCATAGTGTGAAGCTCCTTTTCTTGGTAGTACGCCGGTGGCCACGGAAGGTGTCCACGTCAGTTGAACCAGTATGCAGGTTAGCAGATACTGAGCCAAGATCTGAACTGTTTTGGTGAAAAGAAGACGATGACAGCAACAACAACAACAACAACAACAACAACAACAACAACAACAATGTATAGCAACACCTTGGTGCTTCATACTGGCACGGTTCCCGACATGTAGCGTCTCTATGTCGCCATTACAACCAACACATGCCGATCCACAGAACTTCTCGCGGTGTTCACCTCCATGATGTCGGAAATCTCTCGATCGGCCTGTCTAGTCGATGCCCGGCTAGTATTCAAGACCTGGACGCGAACCGAGCAACACATGCCCAGAGCAAAGCGGACAGAAGGGGAACAGTATTGAGCGGTCGCCGTTTGTTGAAGTTGGTGAGTTGTGTTGTTGACCGTGGCGGTACTTCACCAATCGAGTAGAATATTGCGAAGTACGATCAGTTGCAGATAGTTGCTGCTGACGACTCTCGGAAAAATATTGCTGGTGCTTGTATGCGGAAAATGTTTTCTACACCATGTTCGCCTCTAACCCTTACCCTTGTTCTCACGACCGACAGTTGTGCGGTCACCGTACAGCGAAGGTTAGGTTGGTGCAACGGGAAAGTACGAGGAGGATATACACGGCCAGTCAAGACACACATACACTGGTACTCCGACATGGAGAAGACCACTTTCACCGAAAGTGGTAAGCTGTAACGGCCTTGATGATGCTGCGGTTGCAGGTCAAGAGCGTAGGACTGCACCCGAGAGGTTTCGCTGAGAATTGGGGCAAGTAGCCGTCGGTTCTAGCGCACCCAAACCTGAAGACTTTTTGTTCGTACCTCTGGAAGGAGGTGCTGCTCGAACGCGAATCGAAGACGATGGTGAGCAAGCGGTAGTCCCACAGAGACAAGTTGATTTTCTTGTGGGGCCCGGGCCTAGGACACCGCCATGGTGGTCACGGGATTGCACGGGACGTTCGCACAGAACGACGGGAAGCAGAATACAGGGGTGCGGGGGGGGGGGGGCATACTCATGTTCTGTATGCCTTAGCGGTTAAACCATTGTCTTCGAGAGGCCGGAGCATTGTTCCCACAGGATCATCACCGATGGCCAATCTTTTCTTCCAAATTCTCCCAAAGGTGCCTCAAAATCGTTTTCCGTACCCTCTCTGACCTATGAATATCACCTGCCCTTATTAATGCTACCTGGAGGGAGGTGTGTGTGGGGGTCACAACGGATGGGCAAGGAAGCAACGGGATGGAGACTGTGTTTCGAACTTGCCGTGATTTTCAAGGCTATTGGACAGCACTGCGATAGCTAGTGCTTCTCCATCACCGTACTAGGCTAAGATGCAACTCCTCTTGCCGAGCTTCATCGTGGCTTGTATCTCACATTGACGTTTCTCCCGCGAGCAAAGGACTTCGCCCTCAATGGTAACGGCAGTCCCATGCCGTTTTTCTTCCAGCCGGCGCAACCGTTGGCTACCCCGCTTATCCTCGCGGCGGCGGCAGCAGCAGACGCAGACGACGAAGCAGAAGGACCAGGGCCTTGGTTGCGGGGGGCTACCCAAGGGGCGTAACGCTTAAGACAGAGGCGCGTCAGCGCCTCCACAAACTCAGGGAACAGCATCCCCCCTTGTCCCCCCTCGGTGTCCCCGGTTACCTTGAGAAAAGCCGCCTCTTTGCTGAGCGATTCTGTCTCTTCATCCTTCCCTCCTCCTTGTCCGTCTTGGGCCGACTTCTTCGGCATCTCGTGAAGTTTTCCTATCTCGTTATGTCGATTCACCCCTGCTTGGCAGTCGCTGGTGTTGTTCCCGGTCTTGCTGGTGGTTCCAGCGGCGGCTGCCGCAGCGGCGCCGCCACTCTGATCGCTCCCATCACCGCGAACGTAGTCATCCATTGCTGCGCCGGACAGACCGCTAGCCTCCACGGCTGCGACTGCTCTGCCGCTGTTGGCGGGACTCTCGCCACTGCGCTGGCCACCCCTTCCCTTGCGCGGTGCCTGTTTGCCGCGCTTTGTCTGCGGGCGACGCGGGTTCCCACTACCAGCCGACGAGGGTCGGCATCGTGTGTTTCGTGCGCTGGCTGCGCTGTCGCTGTTCTCAGTCTTAGGCGAGGTGTCGACACCACCATGAGCGCCAGGACAACCGAGGATCTCGAGACTGCGCGCTGTCTTCCTGTTTCGTCCTTCCCGTGTGACCCGGTGGATGACGCTTGCCCCAGCTGCCCAGCCGAACCTTCCCTCCAACACCTCGCAGTTGCTCTATTTTGCGGGTTAACGACATGAACTGATTGGTTTTCGGCGACGCGTGTCTACGGTTCAATCGTCACTAAATTTACTTCGGTCTCGTAAGCTTATTTTTCCGCAAATTCTTGCTTACGACAAATATGCGTGGTCAGATGGTGTTGGGCATCCAATCGTAGCACTATCACGCACGTCTACCGCGGGACATAGTCAAACCTTACATCTTCCCCCCTCCTCCCCGTCTCTTCCTCCCGAACGACGCATTATTTGTTTATGGAACAAGGCGTTTGTTCCGACTTCGATTTTGTCTTTGTCCTCACCACGAGATCCAAAAACTGAGCCCCAGACATGGATAGCTTCTCCACGAGCGCCCGGTCCCCACGGGTCCCCATTCCCGTACCGCCACCACACGGTTCAGCTTCGTCGCCCTCACCCGCCCCTACCGACCACACTGGGCTCACGCCTGCAGCGCGTATCCTTTCAGTCCTGGCAGGACTGCTAGCTCGCTGGAGTCTAGTTGGGCACTCCTCCAAGGCAAGCAGCCCAGGGAATGGGCTTGCTGCCACCGAGGTTGTCGGGATTGAAGCCTGGAAGGAGGGTGCGGAGGGGGGAGCACCGGGGGGGGATAATGAAGGCCGTGTCCACCCCTTCGCTCCCCGGGATTCGCTGTAGACCGCCGACGGGACGCCGACAGAAGGTCGTCGGTAGTGCGAACGCTGCCAGAAAGCGGAAGCTACACGACGACGCTCCAGGTGCTCTGTTTCTAAGGAAGTTACCGCTATTCTCAAGTGATGGCTTCAAGCAATCTACCGTCACAATCGTAATCAGAGCTCTTGCCTGTTCCAGGGCCATCGCGGGCGCGCTAGCGCTGTTGTTCGTACTGCCGCTGGTAACGCTGCCGTTGTCATCAGACGTGGAGGCCTGAGACTCTTCTTCGTCTGCTGCAGCACCGTCCTCGGCGAGCAACTTCTTCTTACTCCCATTGGCTTTCTCAGCGTCCAATGTGGCCGGATTTGTTGCCGGCGCCACGGCAAGTCGTTCTAGACCCGATTCCCGCTGATTGTTTACGTTTCCAAGGCAAAAGGGTGAGGTCTATTACGCGATTTATTGCTCACGTGTTTGTCGTGTTCGGCATGTTAGCAAACAACAACGTTGTTGATCAACAGCGTTGATGCTTTGGCATTCTCCTGGCGAACAGGGGTTTGACGTAACAGAAATGCAAGACAAATTCTGGTCGATTCATCCGAACGAGAGTTGGTTGACCTATCCGTCCAAGAGACACACATCCCTTGCCATGTGGCTCGTCTATTAGAGTCACCTGAGGCCCAAGCACGACGACCGAAAAACAGAACTGATGGGCATCGTTCTCAGTGGCGAAAACAACACCTTGTGCACCAACCATCGCACCTCGCTGTAGTCCGTGAACATCGTCAAGAGCACGTCCCGGAAATCCGCCAGAACGAGCTGCACACGATGTCGCAAGTCTTCTACCCTGATGGAAACGCCGGTGTTCTACGCGCCGAAGGGATGCAATGACGGGAAAAAATGAAGAGAAAGCGACAGCACACAAGAGAGAGCCGCATTTCACTGCGCAGTCTATCGCTCATGGCACATCAGCTTGAGTCTGGACGCGTGGTGCACCCAGGTAGAGATGCCTTGGGCCCTTAGAGTTGGATTGACAATTGTGGGGCGGGGTGGGAGGAGTACTATAAGAAGATGGTACAGGGTACGGAGTAGGTTGACCCTGCAGGTTCTCGAGCAGGCTTGTCGGAAGAGTAGTCAAGCGGCTGTCACTCGACGCCTAATTTATACCAGGCTATACTAATATCTACGCCCAGCGTACAGCCGAAGAGTTCTATAGGGCCCCCCTTTCAGCGTACAACAGAAGGACTCTACATGGTCCTTCTCTCAACTAGGCATCCTCCTTTTTCATGAAGGGAGAAATCAAGAGTCGGGTAGGGCACCGTGCGACGGGCGTCGCGCGAAAAATTCGACTTCTACACAATGTTTTGCCTCAGAGGTATCATACGTTTCGCGCGATTCAGAACAGGGTGCGTCGTGGGGTCACCGGACCCAACACTCCGTTCCTGTCGATGGCCAAAGGTGGAGTTCTACCGATACAATCTAACAGGGACAGGGGGGGCGAGAAGAACAGAGATGATTCCGCTCCCGTACACGGAACAAAAACATATGCCCGACTCTCCTACTGGAGCAGACGATAGGGGCAGACACTTGACGATACATCATGTCGCTCAGCCCATACTTGGCGAAAAAACACGCACGACCAGGCTGTGGCCCAGCTGAACTTCATCTCATCACCTTCCAAAATTCTCTCTCCGCCTCGAGCACGTCCTCCAAGTCTACGTACACGTTGGCCTTAACTAATGCTGCGCATACGATGGGGTCTTCTCGCGAATCGCAGGGGTCGACCTGTGCACAGGCAAGCACGCAACACTGGTTTGCAGATGAAAAACGCGCTGGGGTGACAGTGGTGAAACGTCCCATTGGGTTGTCCTGATAATAGTGCGGACGCTTTCAAGTCCCTCCCTCGATTTTCTTGAATTTGTTGCGTGTACATTGGGTTGTCAGCGGAGACTGTAATAATATGGTCCTGCCAAGGTATTCCGCAAGCTTTATTGGTACACGGGAGATTGTATCGCGTCCTTGAACATCCGCACGCAAGTGTCGTGCATTCCCCTTACTAATGGACTGAATTGTGGAGCTAATTTAGACACCCAGGTACGTTCGTCAACACTCCTCGAGGTGATCGGAGAATTGTTCGATACAACACGTCAGCCCCATACAGTGTTCCGACGCAGGTTTACCCTGCAAAAGTGTGACATCTGTACTCATTCACCAGACGACCGTGCTCTCCCACGAAGGATGGTAGTCTGTGGGGGCTCCATCCAACGTCTGCTCCACTTGCCGGCTTCTCTCGGGCCATTCCTCGCCAGCCCGGTACGTACCGTTGACTTCATACATTTTCGCGGACAAACGGCGTGTGATGACTGCTGTGTCTCTGTGCCTCGTTGCGACCGCAGATGATCGAACGAAGTGAATTTCATCAAGTCGAACACACGATAACGCTACGCACACGAGCGCAACTTCTACCTTCCCTAGCCCGATCTTGCTTGATTTGAAAGGTCTCCGTTCCCCCTCCCTCTCTGTCCCTTTCGAGTTTTTATAATGTCTACAAGCTGCTGTATCTCGGCGTGCTCGGATTGGTCTTCTCACTACACGTGGTGCACGTAGCAGGCCTGAAGCGGCAGAGTACCTAAGGGCGCCCCACGGAGCCATGGTGCAAACATACCTGCTTCTTCGAACGCCACGGAGGCTGCTGTAGAACAAGCGCTGGAGCTCGACATGGCCCGGTGCTATGTTTAACCCATCGAGAAAGGCCCGACTAGCCCCCGCGTGCTCCTGAGCGACATAAGCATAATGAGATTGCGAGAGAGGACGTGAAGGCTTCAGAGCTGCAACCTTGAGATAGCCACTAAGTGTTCCAACATTATTGGTACACGCGTCAAGACTTGGAGGCAGTTCTACCATCCCATTGCAATATCAGGGTTCGGTCACGAGCTCGTTGCATCGTTTCTATTCCGTTCTATTTTTTATGTGTTGTGTGGTGCTAAAAAACGCTCCGAGGCTATGTCTGGCGCGTGGAGACAATCTGAAAAGGTTTACTTTTGTCTACGTCGCGCGGTGTTTGGTTATTCTAAAATCAATACACCGGGGAAATAGTGCGACACGGTGGACGCTTCAGGCAAGAGCATACGAAAGCATCGTGTCATGTGTAGACCGTGCATGAAATAGCAGCTGAATCGGCTTGCCTTCATCTTGAGTAGCGCCTGCCCTTTCTGCAGAAACGCTAATGGCTGAGCTGGATCAAGTACAAGGGATTGGTCCAGGTCGCGAACCGCTTCCCTGTACTCTCCTCCCGATTGTAGCCTCGCACTTGCCCTACCAGGAGGTGGAAACCGTGCAAAACGGCTGTAAGGTTTTCTTTCATGCTTCCGTGCCAGATTTGCAACTGTTGCGGACAAGAACAATTCTATAGTACTAGAGACGACGGGGAGGCATAGGCTAACATCGTGGCGGCAAAAACAATTGCTGGGGCATTGGACCTCTTGATTGAATGGGCCCAGGTTATGTAGACACCACACGAGCGGTGTGTGTGGACGAGAAAATCTTTGTGCCAATTCTCAGCGTACATGAACTTTTACGTCCTCGCCCCCACCATTTATCCGGAGAAGCAGGGGATTGATACCGTGGTATGTCGCGAGGCGGGGGACTGTACTTATACTTGCCATCGAGACCAGAATCCGAAATACTACATGATGACTGACTGCGTATTACCACCACCATCCTTCTATGGGGCGCACTGATGGATAATTTTGGATGATTTGTCTGTGCGGCACTTTCGTGGTGTCACAGACGCATTGCTGTGAAGTGAGAGCATCCTTTAGCACCTTCGGAAGAGCAAGCGGGAGAGCTCTTGCGCTTGTCTTGACGGCCTCGGAGTACCCGTCTCGGTTTCTTCCTTCAAAAGTTTCTTGACGATGTCAATCGCTACCGTGAAGGCTCGAATACTCTCGGAGCACCGACCACTGCAGAAAGCTGCTTCGCCTCTTTGTCGAAACGCAGTTGCCTGCGTGGCAATCGTTAGAGGTGCAACAGAGGGAGGTGATAAATACGAGTGACAAGTTCGAGACATGATTTGCACATCATTGTGCGTACAGGGCAGCCCTTCGGGAATACTCCGGTATTTCTATGCACTCAACGATAATTTAATACATAGTACCGTAAGGTTGGGAGTCAGCGCACAGGGGTGCGATCGATTTTCAAAGCTTAATTTCTCCACAACCTGGAGGGTGCGAGCGCCAACTGATACTTGTCAGGAAAGCTCTCGATGAGATATTTCCAAAACCGCCCTAATCGACAGTGATAACCTCCTGGTTGTGGAGTAATAACGATTTGAAAATCATTCGCACCCCTGTGCGCTGACTCACAACCTCACGGTAGTGTGCCATTGCTATCGATCGGAAAATATGTACGTAAACAGACACCGTTCTATGTACAACTTATCGTGTGGTAAATCCTTCACGTGTTGTCCTGTCCGCACACCACACGTGCTTCCACATCATGCCCTTCGTTTCGTCCTCAGAGCATTCAAGAGGTGGTCCAACGGGAGCACAAAATTATATTTCCACCTCTGCGATCGAACGGGAGGTATATTCCGCCATATTCCCGGGCGTCGCAACAGCCGTATGATGTCCAATTTTTGGTATCCTTCCGATCGTGTCGTAGCTCTCCTTTCGGCCGTCCCTGGAGTCTTCACCGCCAACACGCCACATCTTTCGAGAGGAGACGTCATCTTCGCCCGAACGCATGTCAAAACGTCGGAAGAGCCTGATAACACGATCAGCCTGTATGTTGTCGTCTTGCTTTTCCGCACCCTCCGAGATAAACAATTATCAGTGGTGCATCTACAGTAGTACATAGCTGACATGTATCGTGTCAGTCGATCATGTATCGTGTCAGCCGATGGAGGACCTTCTTTGATTGGCCAGTGATTACTGCTCCGCGTTCGAAACGTCAGCGATTACGCCGCGTTCCCGGCGCCAAACACCAAACCACCACCAAAACACCAAAACACGAAACGTAGACCCACGAGGCAGCAGGTTCTGGACACCGACAACATGCGCGTCGGACTGTACCTGAGAGACGAGATTATACGGCTTGCCTCTTAGTTGAGTCACTCACAACGCGCATCTCGCAAACACGCCATCCTACACCAAAGATGCAAGGGCATTCAACTCCACAACCAAGAACAAAGAGCTACGACGCCCGACAACGAACCACCGCCCCGCTGCCCAGGAAACCATGGCGGTCTGGGCAAGGGTTGCGGGCGACAAATCCACGAGAGTTGGAACGCTTCGTCGACAGTAGCAGGTATAGCTTGCTGTAGTCTAGACTAGAGACCCCGCAAAGTCTGGGACACAGCAACCAGTGTAGACGTCTAGTCTACATGTACATACATCGCTGTATGCCAGATATTATCTCTTGGAAATTTGTCGCGCCAGATGCACAAGCAATGGTTGTTGCCAACAACACTAATGTGCATGCCGCAGCCGTACACGTACATCCCTCGTAAGTCGTTCGTAACCTTTAATGTACAGTCCTGACTACAAAAGGTTGTGGTAGTGCCAAGGGATTTGACCGGCCTTGTTGCGCGTGCCCGGCCGTACATATTGTACAGATTTGCACAGCTGCTGTCCCGTATCGGCTCGCGGCAGGTTCAGGTTCCTCAGTGAGGCCGGCACTGGCAACATTGAAGAGTAGGCTGTAAGAGGATGGGGCGTGTACCAATAACTGCGTGTGTGACCACCGATCGACACACGGCGGCGGGTTACTACTTCTTGATTTTGCTGGGATGCCTCGCACCCCTCGGACGGCGTGTTTCATATGTGCAGGGATGGGATCGAGTGCGTGGGCGTCGGGCGTGAGAGCAGACTGACGGCAAGGACATCGACGGCAACATCGATTAGTTGGGATGGGTTGACGCTAGACCCAAGGCCTTTCGCACGGTTCGACGAGCACAACACACTCACTACCGGGAAAAAGCCGGTGAGGCATGGTATGCTCAAAGGCACTCTTTGTCGAATAGAACCGAGGAGAGCAGCAATACGCTGTCCTCTCGAAGGCATTTCCCCTTGAACAGTGGGAGAGACCTCCTGAGCCAGGCAAGCCATCCACGTGTTGCAGCTCCTCTCGTCGTTGTTGTCATTGTCTTCGCTTTTGAACCAGTTTCGACCTCTGCTTCCGACTGCCGTAAGGCGAGTTTTTTTTATCTCTTGAACAAGAACGACGGTGGGAATGGGGTAGGAGGTAACCGGATACTAGCGCAGGACCATTGTTTGTCGTATCCTATCGCCGCCAACGAGGAGGTTGACGACCCTGCGGAAATAGTAAGGACTTCGTTGTGCTCAGTTTCACGTCATCATTGCATATTCGATGGAGAAGGTAGTAGTAGTGCCGCATACTGCAAATTGGGTTTTACTAGAGGCTATCTCGGCGGAGCTGACAACCAACCATGCCTTAAAACCTTCTGCGCTTGCTTTCAAGTTTCTTCCCTTGCAAAAAGGAGGCCATGACATAAGGAAACGACACCGTAGAGCATGTTTTTTCTCAGGGCACAGAAATCAAACGCGCAAATCATGGTGCGTTGGCCAATGCCTCACGGCCAACATGCTTCCTGTGCTCCGTGGTGCCATAAACCGAATCCAACCCCCCCCTCCCCGGTAGGCCGGTAGCGCCGGAGCTCGGGTGATGGTTCTTGAGGGGCACGCGCCGGGAGGAATATTTGGGCGGCCAGTAACAGGTCCTGGAAGGATGCAGTGGACGGTTGAGCAGGAGACCTCTCGCGTGATGGCACCAGACAATCCTTTCAGAAGGGCGACCGTGTGCGGGGTGAGATAGACAGCAGTCAGGGGAATAGACTGCCGCGTGCTGAGGGACAAATTGCTTGTGGGAACGCGGCTGGGTTGACGCTTGGTACCCAACACATGGGGGACCTCGCTAAGGTGAATATTTTGTGTTCCAAACCGCGACATTGGGCACAGCCGTGGCATCAGTGCGAAAGCAGGAGATCACGAAAAAACTACCGCGGGGAGTGCCCGTACCTGTATATCTACCGCCCTGTTATTTTCCCACGAGGACACTCGAAGAACAACGGACAATGTTGAACCCGGGGGCTAACTCGAACCTTTCCCAAGATTGGGCGTCGTTGTGGGTGGGAGCGTCTGGGGGGGGGGCGTCTCTTCTGTTTCGCATACCTTAGCGGTTAGACCATTGACCACGCGTCCTCAAGAGGACGGAGCATTGTTCCCACAGGGATCACCGATGGCCAATCGTTCCTTCCTACTTCGCCAAAGTTTGTTCCGAATTTTTTCCTGAGTCGGTCTATCCTATCGATATCACTTCCCGCCTTTTGCAATACACTTCCTATGCCCCAGTACAGCTACCGTCTTCTCCTGGCTATTCCATGCCTCAAACATCTCCCTGTATCTTCCTTCTACTTTTCCCAGCTCAGTCATGTACACTTCCCTTTCCCTCTTGTACAACGGACATTTCGCAACTATATGAACCCGGCCTTCGTACTTGGATCCGTATTCACATGTAAACTTGTTGTCTTCGTCATCTACCTACCTAA